ACCCCCCGACGCTCCATCACCTCACAGTATCTGATCACCCCCCGACGCTCCATCACCTCATATCTGATCACCCCCCGACGCTCCATCACCTCACAGGGCTGGATCATCCCATGACACCTCCAATACTCCACATGGAAAAGTGGCTGATGCTTGCTTCTCAAGTCATGCTGAGGAACCCTCAGGAAGATACACAGGGGGCTCATGGGTGTTTTAAGTTTGGGGAAACACAATGGTATTTTTGCGAGACCAAAATAGAAATAATGCCTTTCAAACTGTTTGCCGTAATCACTAATTCCTTCTGTGTCATTCTTTCCTTTTCTACTGACTTTGCAGGTGATACGTTCTCACAGCTGAAATAACTCTGCGATGACCTTACACTGGTCAGTCCAAGCTGCTCGAGATGCCCACCCAAGCCTAAAGAATAGCAACCACAGCCTATCGGCACTGCAGGTAAAACCCCAGGCACTGTCAAGGAAGCATTTCTTATAAAACAAGATGGGGAAAACCAGGCAGTCTCGTTTCAACTCGTCAACACCGAGTAATCCTGCCAAAAAGTCTGCCCTGAAATGCTAAGCATAGAACTAAGCGGCCTCTGTTGAGCAGTCAAGGAGAAACCGAGCAGGAAATGTACGTCCGTCATTCGCATTTTACTCTGAAGGAGTTAGGTTTCATCTTTCTTAGGCTCCTGAGCAAACTCCACTTCCATGCCAAACACAAAGCACATTAGTCAGAAAAGGGTCTGTGATGTGTTGAGCATACAACGCCTTATCTGACCTGTGGACTGAGCTGGGGCCTGGCCACTACTGCACCTTCTGAAGATGGAGGGATGCTCTTCGGTGCCGTGACCCTGTGTCTGGCAGGCGAGACAATACCTACTCCTTCCTGTGCCACCCTCACCACCTCTGCTGGGCTTACACCCACTGAGCGCAGTCTCCATGAGGCGCTTCCTCCTTTTCATGAACTCTCGACCAAGCATGAGGTCTTTCTCCCAGGCCTGGCCCCACGTGACAGCATGTGACCATTCTCTTTTCTAAGGAGTACCCTGGCTACACTTCCTCACAGACAGACGTATTCCTTCTTGTCGCGGTCCACGTTACAGCTCATCCAAGCAAGATGAAATCATAGCTTCACTCCTTCCTCCATCTATCATAATGCTGACTGCTGGTCCTGTGGTGAAGACTTGTGTTTTCTTGATGTTGAGATGCAATGGGATCATCACTGCCAAGTCTAAGGGCTAATTTCAAGTCCTCTTTCTTTTTCACAGAAGCCAGTGTGAGAATGCATGTTGTAAAAGGATCATGCTGTCTGCTCTAAGTGTATCCTATGTGCAACATCTTAAACTCTGATCCCTACACAGTGAAACATCTTTTCAATTCTGGCACCCACATTATTCTCCCCATGAAAGGGCAAATCCCAAAATATTTAGTAAAGTCACAAACCCATCAGCACAAACCTAAGAGAACAACGTTATACATGAATATTCACGCTTGGTGCCTCACTGTGGTGGCTGGCAGAAGGGGGTGAGGTGATGGTGCTTGTGTGCTGACACTTCTCAGGGTGCATCTCTGTCATGTTCCCAGTGTACCAAACTCCACCCCTAATTCACTGCTCCCAGTGAGGCAGGCAGCTCACGCCCCCCGGCTGCCCAGGCTAACGGCAGAGCTCAGCCCATGTCCAGAGAATCGCCACGGTCAACAAGCCATCCAGTGCAGCAGGAAGGCCTAGTGTCTTGGGGACGGCTCAGGTGCGGCTTACCTGTGAGGTATCCTGCTGTTTGTGACTCAGAAATAAATAAGTCATGTTTTTGATCTTTGAAGGCACTCCAGACTGAAGACCGAGACAGGATTTCATTCACCTGCAGAGGTAAAGCAAACTCTCTTAAGCACCAGTCGGGGCTGGAAGACAGAATCAATAAGAGGAGGGCAAGGAAGATGAGCAGGTGATTCAAGGACAAAGCAGGACCTGTGGGAGCTGCACTGCTCCCTGGGGAAGGACTGCTGCAGAGGGACAGGCGGACACAAAGCATGTGCTCTGGTTTTGTCAGGAGGCAACCATGGTCTCCTGAGGTGCTCCTGTTGCAGAACTAGCCCTCAGGTGAACAGAGCAGACGTGTGGACAGAGACCAGGCCCCTGGCTTTGTAACACTGTGAGTCACACACAGCTTCCTCTGTCCAGACTCACCTGCTCTCCGTACTGCAGGCTCCGCGTCATGGCCTTGAGAGCTTTAACGATCTGAGCCTTGGTGGCAGCTGGACTGTCCAGACCTTCCAAGCCAATGCCTTCAAGCAGTTTTAAGAGGTATGGGACCAGCTCTGCCTTCAGGGCCTAGAACATACAAGAATGTACAGAGACACATGACCCACCCAGCAGAGGGTGGGTAAGCAGCGCAGCGCTCAGTAAGGAACTGGTGCGGCTCCACCAGCGACTCTGCAGGGGAAACATGGGCAGCCTCCTCCAGGTGGCTCACTGCCTCTGGACAGTCAGCTGTGTCAGGTCCGACTCAGCCACCAGCTGCAGCTGCAGCACCAGCACAGGACCTGCTCTGCCTCCAGGGCCCAGAACACACCGAGCATGCAAAAACGTACGGCAGTAACTAACCACCACCAGAGAAAGCCTTTCTTCTCCAGGTATGACCAGGAATTATCACCATTAACCAAGCTACCAGTCTTCACACAGCTCCAACCCCATGGACAGAATTTTCTTCGCACCTAAGACGTTCCTGTTAAACGGAACTGATTGTGCGCCGTCACTGTTCTAAAAGCTAAGCATCGTTCACGAGGCCACTTCACTCAAACCTTCCCAGCACGCCCACGTGGTGGGCAGCACTATCCTCACAGATCCAAACGCCAGCACACGGCGGGGAAGCCTCGTCGGTCCCCTGGCTGAGCGCTGACTGGTGTGTCGGGCTCTAGGAAGCAGCTCTGGAGGCTGGGGTCTCAGCCACAAGGGTGCTCGCTAGAATCCCAGCAGATGAGTGGGCAATGGTTTCAGAAATACCTCAGCATTCTGTCATAGTCTTTTAAAATAGCAATGTTTGCATTCAGTATTAGCCTAAGAGAAGCTGAGTGGTACCGAGACATCACACAGCTTCTACTGTGCATTCTAACAGACGGCATAGAGGCACCTAGCATTTCTGAGTGTGCCTGTGTTTGGGGATTATCACTACCGCCTCACTTAGTTCTCTAGTAACCCCGTGAGGCAGGGACATCTTCATGTGAGGACTGATAACACCTGGAGGTCCCTTTATCTCACAGAGGAGGCACTGAACCGAAGGTCACAGTGCCATCCAGTGAATGCCACACAAGAATGTCAGTACTTCCCACTACACTCTCCAAAGCAAGCGGAAACCTCAAAAGCAGGCGCCATCTCCTTCAGAAGGTGGGAGACGGGCAGGACGGGGGCCTCGGCAACTGGAGGGGCAGAGACAGCAGAGGGCCACGGGTGCAGCCCAAAGACCAAGGATGATGGGGTCTGGAAGATGACGGGGCCTGGCAAGTGACGGGAGTGCTGACTGACGCGGGTATGACACGGGATCCTGTCGCAGGGCTGGTACTGGAAAGAGGACGTTTGTGATGGTTTTTAAACGTCCTGTGGATCCTTCAGTATGTGTCTATTCTATGCGCCTCTACAGAAAGGGCAGTTCATTAGCCTCATAATCTCTCAGAAGAAAACAATTAAAATCTGGACACAATCTTAAACATCACTTTAAAAAACCAAATCTTTCCAAAGAGAATAAAGCACATTTTGCACATGCTCAGTAGGTAATGAAGTCAGAATGTAACGAGCACTGGAGTTCTCTGGCAGCCGGTCCCATCGCTGGTCACATCCACACACGCGCTGCTGTGTGTGTAGGTGAGGTAACCACACTACGTCCACCAGCGCAGAAGCTGTCCCCGCAGCAAAGCCCTTCAGGGGTCAGGCCAGAGGCTCTTACTTGTGCAACGAGCTCACTCTGCTCCTTCTGGAACATGCGGTTGATGGCTTCACAGGCGAGACCCACGCTGTCTGCCCGCCTTCGCATCCCGTTCATCAAGGGCCCGATGGTCTCTAGCGACGCCATGGCTCGTACACACAACTGCACGCACGGGAACAGAGGGAAGAGCGGGTTATTCGTAGAGGAGCCAGGCCGCACGTCAGAAACAAACAAAAAGCCCACATCCTTTTGAACTGTAATTACGAATCGAGTCAGATTCAGTCTGTTACCGACACTAAGTCTTTTGAATAGTGAGAACCGGGCCCAGATCACCTGCGGCAGGACCCACGGCTGGAAGGGGCTGCAGGGAGAAGCATTGACTGTGAAGAGGAAGCAGCTACCTCGTTTTCAGACAGGGCATGGACGACGCGGATGGCGCTCTTGGGGATGGCGTTGTTCCGGTGGTTCATGGCCTGGAGCACTTTGGGCAGGTGGCCCAGGGGGGGCACTTGGTCGGCCAGCTGCGGCTGTGCGCTGAAGAGGCACACTGTGGCTGTGGTCAGCGTCTCCAGAGTCTCTCCCTGGAGGAGGCAGAAATAAACTATCAAATGCCAGCAGTGGACCATCCTTGGTAGTCATGGGGTCCTCAAATCAAGGGGCTGCAGGTCGTAGGTACTGATGCCTGAAATCCGATTCCCTGCTCCTAAGAGAGTGACACACCCCCGCCTTGTCTACAGTGAAAGGAGGACATCGAAGGTCGCAGGAAGGCCTTTGCTCAGTCTCAGCCTTCTCCAGGACAGCCTGACCTCATTTCAGCTGGAGGGTTAGATCATCTTGCAAAGGGAGAACAAGACGTTCCCAACACGATGACAGAGACGTCAGTGAAACAGCAGCAGTAACCAGTTAACAATCCCACCATCGGGCACATCTGACTTGTGCGCTCTGGACAGTGGGCACGAGGGGGCAAAGCGTGACAGCTACACCGTCATCAGGTGCAGACACTCCATCATGCCACCACCTCACGGGCTCATGGAAACAGAGTCTTCACAGAAAGATGGTGGAGGAAGAGGAGAAAACTGAGGGCCTCCCCTACTTAAGATGCGGCACCTTCAGGGTTTTACTTTCTAAGCAAACACATGTCTTAGTAACTGAAAATCTAGTAAAGAGGGCACATAACTACAGAAAAAGACAGACGTCAGTGTCTGGTACATCGTTCACATTGGAGAAAAGGTGCTGCTACTATAGTAAATTTCTTAATTTTTAGAATTAAAGATTTTAAGTAATTCTTATAATGTGACCAGTACCGATATGTGTTATGTATTAAAAACTTTCAGGTGCATGGATCATAAATGAGGTAACCAGGGTGTTACACAGAGCTGCCAGGTGGTGGGGCTGGGCCTTGAACCCAGGACCACCTAACAACAAAGCTCAAGCCCTTTAAGGTAGGGCTGGGTCAGTGTTAAGGTTCGGCCTGGTTACTTCTGTTTCTAATCATGCCGCAATTATTTTCAATCTAGAGCCCAAACACCATGGGAGTGTTGACTGGCTGAGCCCTGATCAGGATTGCTCTCTCACTGCCCTCTGCGACCTGTTACAGGTGTAGCCATGAAGCCCTGCTTTCCCACTGACCTGTGTAACCTGAGCAGTGTCTGCTGAGTGAGGACCACCCCGTTAGGCAGGACCCCGCCCCCCGTGAACTGTATCTGTGACCCCAGTAGCCTGTGACAGGTGTCGCTGTGAAGCTCTGCTTTCCTACCGACCTGTGTAACCTGGGCAGTGTCTGCTGAGAGCAGTGTCCCCCACCATGAACTGTCGTTCAGAAGTGACTGCTTTACTTCTGAACACGTAAAAACAGACAAGAGGCCGAGGGTAAGCTGTGGACTGCCGGGTGGCTGCGAGGTTGAAAGAGGCAGCCCGTTAACGCACACTCGATGCACTGGGCGTGTGAAGGGTCCAGTGAGGCTGAGCTTACGTGTGGGCTGTTCTTCTCCAGCAGCTCGGTTAGTTTTTCTAACAGTGCAACAAGGAACTCTCTGGGCTTCCTCAGAACCCATGCTGGCTGTGCGATAAAGATGCGCAGGAAGACGCCGCCGACGGCAAGTTCACCCTCTGCTTCTCCAAACACCACAGCAAAATCTTCCGGCAGCTTTAAGTGGAACCAGAGGTCAGTCAGAATCCTTCCTAATCACCGAAGAACAAGAAACCACACTGCACAACTAGATCTGAAACCAGCCAGCCCTGAGCCGTGCTCACAGAGGCTACCGACTGCCATCCAGACCATCCGTTTCCAAAGTCAGAGTCCCCGCCGCTACGCTAAGGCCTGTTCTCCACAGGAATCTCCAAGAGCCTAACTGACCAAGTCTCGACAGGCTGGCATCAAAGTGACTCAGCAGGGGTTAAAACAATCAATAGAAAGAGTAAAGCTGAAAAACTTCCCCCTTTGCATAAAGTGCATCTTACCTTCCAGTTGACTTCAGGGTTGTCTCGCTGGTTTCTAAAGTGCCTTGGAGGGAGCAAAGGGGGGAGAGGAGGAGAACAGAAAACTTGCGTCACAAAACGTACCTGCATTAACCTGCGGCATAAGCGCTATGAGGTGAGAAGGTGTGGGGGCACGGCGGTGACCCTGGCCATCAAACCCACATGCTGGGCGCCTGGCAGTGAGGGCACCATGTCCACTGTGGAGGTCACACACTGGGCCCCTGGCCGTGGGGGGCACCGTGCCCACTGTGGAGGCCATGCACTGGGTGCCTGGCCGTAGGGGACACCATGTCCACTGTGGAGGCCACGCACTGGGCACCTGGCAGTGAGGGACACCATGCCCACTGGCAAGCACATGCCAGGCGCCTGGTGAGAAGGGTGTAGGGACACTGTGCCTGCCCTGCCCGTCAAAGGCCACACACCGGGTGCCTGGTTAGAGGGCAGTGGGTGGCACCGTGCCCACTGTGAAGCCCACACGCTGGGCGCCTGGTGAGAAGGCAACGTGGCACCTGGTGAGAAGGTGCTATGAGGTGAGAAGGTGTGGGGCACCGTGCCTGCCCTGCCCGTCACGGCCACACGCCAGGTGCCCGGTTAGAGGGCAGTGGGGGGCACCGTGCCCACTGTGAAGCCCACACGCCGGGCGCCTGGTGAGAAGGTGCTGTGAGCTGAGAAGGTGTGGGGCACCGTGCCTGCCCGGGCGCCTTACTTACTCTAGCATCATCTCCCTGACCGTTGTAGACACTCTGTCTCTGGAACTATCATTCCAGATTAACTCAGGATTCTCGTGAGTTCCTTCAAAGATCTGCACGGCAGCTTCAGGGTTGTCCCGCATAGCGTCCATAAAGACGCTTGGCAAGAATTTCATCAACGTGATCCGCACCTGGATGCAAGAAACAAACAAGACCTATCGAGAACATGTCATCATCCTGTTTGCTAAATATGTTTTAAAGGAATTCTACCCTCTCTTGTTTTGTTCTCATTTGGGCTGTAAATGTTACCCAAGAGGTCAGGAGTGAGAGAAGACAAACTGTGGTTTATTAAAGTGACTTTACCCAGCCCCCTGGAATCTGCTCCGCTTACCTCTGCAGCCTCATTTGCACCCAGCACCGCCCCACCCGCATGTCTAATTTGAATGAGTCCATGTCCTGTGGGGTCTGGTCCCCTGAGCTCACCTGCTGGGCAGGTCCGGTGCTGGATCAGCTACCCCTGCAGCAGTGACATAGGTCCCCATGCTGCCTCTGTGCTGGGAGCTATTTTTTTTTTTGGCTTGTTTTACTTTTATTATTTTTTTATCATTTTATGACTATATTTTAATTAATGTTTTGTACATTTCATATCTTTTTTTTAATTTAGGTTGTTTATTTTTAATTTCAATGAACATCTACAGAGGAGCTATTTTGACTGCATTTCTCTGCACTGGTCGGTGTTATGCTACACCTTTTTCCAAAGAGGATGTGAAAACTGCCTTGGAAAATACACCCTTCTGCACAGGATATGAACAGACACTCCACTGAAGAAGACATTCAGATGGCCAACAAGCACATGAAGAAATGTTCAAAGTCCCTCGCTCTAAGAGAGATGCAAATCAAAACAACTATGAGATATCATCTCACCCCAGTAAGAATAGCAAAATATAACAGAACAGCAAGCAACAAATACTGGCGAGGATGTGGAGAAACTGGAACTCTTATTCACTGTTGGTGGGAATGTAAGATGGTGCAACCATTGTGGAAGGCGGTGTGGCGCTTTCTCAAAAAATTGCAAATAGAGATACCATTTGACCCAGCAATCCCATTACTGAGAATATACCCCAGAGAGACCATGTCTGCCATCCAAGCAGATATATGCACACCCATGTTTATTGCAGGTTTGTTTACAATAGCAAAGAGTTGGAAGCAGCCTAAGGGCCCATCAACAAACGGAAATATACCCTTCACACAGTCAACACAGAGTCAGCACGTGAGGCATGAGGCAAAGGGAACATGAGGGCTGTTGGTAAGAGAGGTTTCCCCTTCTGATCTTGACAGTTTTCTTTCCTTTCTGTCCTTCAAACAACTGAACTCTCATTTCATGGAAATCCTCTGACCTGTAATCTCAGGACCCAGCACTGACAAGGTCAACAAATGTTTGCTGGGATGAGTGAAGACTAACAGGAAGTCAGCGTACAGCAGAACCATCAAAACTCCTGTTGTTGTTGTAGTGTGCCACTGAGTCGCCTGCGACTCATAGCGACCCTATGTACAACAGCCCTAAACCCTGCTCTATCCTGTGCCAATCTTATTGTCTCTGACACTCCCATCCCCATTACCCTCGTCACTGAATCAATCCATTTCATTGAGAGTCTTCCTCCTCCCTTGCACTGTGCCCCCCACCCTCCCAAGCACGATGTCCCTCTCCAAGGACTGATCCCTCCTTGCAACATGTCCAAAGTATGTCAGACAAAGCTTCAGAATCCTTGCCTCCAAGGAGGGGCCTGGCTTCACCCTTTCCAGGACAAATCTTTTCCTTCTCTTAGCAATCCATTGTATTCAATACTCTTCTCCAGTACCACAGCTCAAAGGCATCAATTCTCCTTCTACCATCCCTAGTCACTGTCCAGCTTTCTGATGCATAGCAAGTAATTGTAAAGACTATAGATGGTTTGTATCAGGCACACCTTAGTCTCCAGACTGAGATCACTGCTCTTCAGTACTTTGGAGAGGTCTCTGATAACAGACTTCCCCAGTGCAATCTGTCTTTTGATTTCCTGGCTGCTGGTACCAAGAGTGTTGACTGTGGAGCCAAGGAAACTAAAGCTGTTCATAATCTCAATCTCTTTACCATCTATCATGATGCTGTCAATTGGCCCAGTGGTATAAGAATCTTTGTTTTCTTGATGTTGAGATTCAATCCATACTGAAGGCTGCAGTCCTTTCAGCAAGGAGGGTTGTGTTGTCTGCATAACACTGATCACTGAAGAATCTTCCACTAATCTGACCCCACATTTTTCCTCATACAGCCCAGCCTCCCAGATAATCTGTTTTGCATACAGGTTGAAAAGGTAGAAATAGGACACATCCCTGGCGTACGCCCTTCACAATTTTGAACCATGCAGTGTTTCCTTGCTCTGTTCTGACGACTGCCTCTTGGTCCAAGTATAGGTTTCGCATAAGCACGATCAAGTGTTCTGGAATTCC